CCTACTCCTGTGAGGCTGGAGGTGTGAACTAAAAGCCCTGGGGCAGTGGGCGCCTGCCTGCAGCACAGGCAGGAGGTGCTCTGCCCGGGGGTGAGGGGCGGCTCTCGGAAGTGTCTGGGCTCGCTAAGCGGGGACAGTCCCTAAGGTTCCAAGGAAGTAGCCTCTTAGTCCAGAGTTCACCCAGGGGAGGGGAGGGGAGCAGACCAGAGGGCAGAGGAAGGGGAGGGGGAGGGACTGGAGCCCTGGGGCTAGGCACCCAGGGGCCTGGCTTGAGGGGAGAAGGCCGAGGCTGGGCTCTGAAGGGTGGACGGGGAGCTGCCAGCTCACAGGGACCGGGGGGGGGGGTTAGTCAGGGCGCTGGGCCGTCCCAGGGCCTGGGGCTGCAGGGTGGACAGTGTGTGGCAGAGGGCCGCGTCGGGTCCTCCGCAGCGGGTCTGGGGCTGACCACAGAGAGGAGGTGACAGGACCCCCAGCCTGGGGACTCGGCTGGATTTGGCTTGTTTGCTGAGCTTTGATGTTGAGGGGTGCAGGCCGAGGGGCGTGGCATGGGGGTCTGCCTGGATGTATGAGGCACAAGGTGTTCGGGGGACAAGGGACGGCCGTGGGAGGTGCTGGATGGGAGACCGGGAAGGGAGACGGGGGAGGGCAGGACCACTGACGTCTAAGGGGCGTGGACAGCGCAGAAGCCAGGGGCAGGGGCTCCAGGAGGGTGAGCAGCGGCGGCCCACGTGAGGCCGAGATTCTGGCGAGGGCCTTGGGGCCTGGGCAGGGCCAAATCAGAGAAGTCCTGGGAACAGGGCCTGCAGCCAGAGGACTGGAAGGCTGGGGCTGGGCCGGGAGGGGGCCGGGCTGTCCCAGCGGAAACCCCCAGACACCGGAGGGGCAGTTTGGACAGGGTCCCGGTAAGAGTCGGTGAGGGAGCTTTCAACAAAACCCCAGGCAGGCCCGGAGGTGTGTGCACGCTGGTGGGGGCGGGACAGGCCTGCAGGAGGCAGCGGGGTTGGGGGGCTCCGGAGATGACGGCATTGCAGGCGAAGCTCAGCCGTCCCCTGAGGGTCTTCTCCCCGAGCCCCTCAGCACCGCTCTGGCCTTCCCAAGTGGGGCACACTGCCTGCCACACGAGGCAAAGGGCTCTCCTCAGGGCGAAGCCTGTTCACGAGGGCCGCCCCCCGCCCCGCCACGAGCCGGGGGGCTGGTAGCCCCACCCTCAAGACGGGGCGTCTCTTGCCACCGGAGGAGGGGAGCACCAGGGGCAGCTGGATAGATAGCCCC